GACGTACAGTCCCAAAATACGTGTGCTCTGCCTTTGGAAGAAGAACGGTGGCCAGACGCAGTTACACAAATATTATACGAAAAAAGTAAGACATAGAATATTTTGTATTGAAGAAGTCAAGACTTTCCATGATTTCTAGTGATTTCGGTGTTTAAAGAGTGGAGTAATTGTTTTGTTTGTGTAGTGCAAGGGTCTGTACTACTGCATCAAGGAGGCGATGGAGCGCAGCGGGCGGCGGCGCGACGCGGCCGAGCTGGGGGGCGAGTTCCCCGTGCAGGACTGCGCCTCGGGCGAGGGCGGCCTCATACAGGTAGCCGACACCAACACACGCTAATAAACCATTTACACAATGCACACTTATAATAAATTCAATGATGATTATCCTAGAAACATTAGTCATGTTAGAGGGCAAGATATTAAATTACTAACTTTCATCCACGACTCCGTCCGCGTGAAATTAAGTAACAAAAGAGAGTACCTTATGTGTTCTTCCAAACAGTGCTCTGCAATTATGCCTTTCATGCAGATCCATTCAGCAGTTTAGGCTACGAAATCTATCAAACATCCATCTATCCAATTCACATTTATCGTATTAGTGTGATTTACAAATGTATTTCAAATTCAGCTCTATCATCTATCATGCAGCAATATTCTAGTAGTGTTTTTTTAAAAAAAAAAAACAAACTACATTGGTTCTATAACTATAGTCTTTATAGTCTTGAGCCATTTGTAGAATTGATTAAAAGTTGAAAACGAAATTTTAAAGTATGAATATTTGTGCATTCAAGGTGTGCATGGAGGGCGTCGGTCTACTGTTCCATCACAGCAAGGTAGGGTTGCCATTTTTTAAATTATTTTTGTCAGCTTTCTATATGTATTTGCAGTGATATACCAAAACGATCAGTGATCAATCCTTCAATCGAGAATATGACATGAGACATCAGTTTTGGTATTATCATATAAGAAATGATACCAGGTAAGGTCTGTGTCGGTGTTTACGCTTATTTGGATACCATCATATAGAAGGAAGACGGCCGCGGCAGCGCCGGCCCTGCTTCCTTAACTGTACCAGTACACAAACACTACTATATCAGACCCCGTACTGAATAAATTTCAGTTTAATGTAATTACTAAAGTTATTATGGGGCAAATCCATGTTGAAGAGTTAGTATAATTCAAGAGTTAGCTGTCTAGAACCCCAGTAATATTATCTGGACCAAGTATTTATCCCGACGCAAGGACCACTCAAACATTCCTATTTCGATTTCTAAGAACCTCTTTATGTTTTTACATATTATACAGTATCTATTTTTCCTTTAATTCCACATCTATTTATTTATATATTTATTATGCGCGATTTTTATTTTTATTCTATTTGCTTATGTCGAATCGAAGCCGTATTTTGCCCGTCGTTTCTCTACTACCAATTCGATGTAATAGTTAGTTTTACATTTTAAGGTTATCCGTCATTTACTTTAAGTGTACTCTATGATGTGAGTCGTGCATGCGCTATTGCCCGCCCGGTCGCCGCCCGGTCGCCGCCGGCCGCC